TCCCCCCCCCCCCCCCCCCCCCCAAACAAATCACAATGGGCATTATGGTTAGATCTCCCCCCTCCAGGCCTATTAATTATATGGTACTACTAATGTATCCAGCTGCCCAGGCTAGTTAATACGTACTATATAGCTGTTATAGTATGAAGACGGCCGGAAATTTTATCGACTGCCAAATAACGGAATAACATGGGGCTTTGAGGATATTGTAACCAATATGCTTTATTCTATCAATTTCTTAAGGGGCTATACTTATTATAATCTTCAAATGTTGCCAACAGCTATAGACCTCCGAGAAGTTGTATCAGAATGTCGTGAAGTAATAAATGCCTAAATGCCGCAAGCCACAGGACAAGACTATCATTGTATTTAGTATTTGTTGAAGTATAATATCCGACCTTCATATGTAGTAAATATGTACCCTTTGCTCTAAGTAAATGCTATAAATCCGCCGATATCAATTTCGCATAGTACGCGGGGCCGGGACTCAACTATAACCTGGCATTTGCCCGGGCGGATCCGTGTTTAATAACCCGTAGGTAACCCCGCCTGGGGCCCCAACCTTGGAAGTACCTATGTATGTAGGTGGCCCTTCAGGGCCTGGAGAATTTCGCTTAATATCCTTTCACCTCTCTCTCGGAATTTACTCAATAACCTTCGAAGTATTTCTGTCTTCTAACCATGGACGCTCCTATAGTAACCATAGTCACTGGCTCCGTAAGTCTCCCACTCCTATCTCAGGCTGCTCCTCACAAAGATTACAGAACCGTGGCATCGGGCGTGCCATCTGTGCTGCGCTGGTTCATCAGTTCTCAGGCCCCTTAATTATATATGAAGCCTCTCGAGCCGGGGCTTCTTTTGATCTGACTGGCCTGATCTTTCCCCCGGCCGTGAAGATTTACCCTGCTCAGCTGTCACTCACTGACCAGGCCAGTATTACTGCCCTCAGCACGATGGTCGATAAGGAGCACCAGGGCTGCGACATTCTCATCAACAATGCCGGACTCTACTATTTCCAGGAAAACATCACTGCCGCAGAGCGTCAGGAAACTCTGGATGTGAACTATCGCGGCACCCTCAACGTAGACCACTCTCCTCTTCTCCAATTCATCAGCTAACCCCGTCAGGTCTGTCAAGCCTTCTCGCCAATCATGCGAAAGAACAGCCGCATCGTCAACATCTCCTCCCAATCCGGCCAACTCAAATACTTTAGTCCTCGCTTGCAGACGCGATTCTCGAATCCCGACCTCACCCTCACTGAGTTAGACGCTCTAGTCAACGAGTACAGCGTACGTTACTTCGACCTTTGTTCCTCTCTTTGTCCCTAATCGCCCCACTCTAGCGCTCAGCAAACCAGCACACTGAGACCGCATCGGGCTGGCCCCCCTTGGCCTATTTTACCAGCAAGGCTGCGCTGAACGCCGCAACGCGGATTCTGGCCCGCGAAAACCCTATCTACTGATTAATTGCTGCTGTCCTGGGTGGGTGGGCACGTCGCTGGGGGCGCAGGCGGGCCAGCCACCCAAGTCTATTGGTAAGTGCGGGGTCTTCTCTCCCGGACGTATAACTTACTATTTCCTTAGAAGAGGGAGTGAGGATCCCACTGCGACTGGCGGTTGGTGATATCGGGCAGATTAGTGGGCGGTACTGGGCGAATGATTCGGTGGCGAGTACGGGCGATGGGAAGATTCAGAATTTCTAGTAGTCTCTCATTCCCAGCAAAGCTACACTTGGGTGATTTCGGCATAAGGGGGAATTATGAGCATCAAGGTTGATTGTCCAATAAATGGGATTTTTGGACTAGATGTTCGGTTTCTTGAAAAGTCTTAGAGGAACTGTTTATTTTTATCATCCTAATACTCCTTCAGAACAGCGGACCTTTTTTTTATTTAGATCCCAAAATTACATACAAATCAATCACCCTGAAATACCGATGCAGAATATTATGAGAAAGACTGCATCATAGCCCAAGAGAAGAAAAAAAGAAGACCTGCCCCAGAAAGACATGGAGGGAAGTGAGACTTCTCACGCACCGCCTGCAGCGGCCGAGACGTTGCATTTTTTATGCTGTAAACAGCACTCACTCAGTAAAAGAACTTGAATTCCAGCAGTGAATTCCACTTACCGACATAAAGACCGAGCATATCAAGCTCGCAGCAGCGGCGACGTACACGCAGATGAAACTTTCCCCGAAAAATCAGTACATCATCAGCTAGAAAAGAAGACAACCGACACTTACATGTAGTGCCATGCAGACACGATGATGACAAGCGCCTGATTACGCAGCTTCTCAGACAGCGACGAGAGCAGCTGACCACTCGTTCCGGAGACGATCTGCCTGACCTGTGATTGCGGATACTCCGGGAGCAGGGCGAACAGGTCGTTCGACGCTAGGTTGACGAATATTGCGCCGCTGATAGACAGGCCTAGCGTCATGCCGCTTAGTTGGGCTGTGCAATCTGTGTTAGCTGGGAACATGGCAGAGAAGCAAAGTAACCAACCGAGTAGCATGAGAGTCAGCCCATTGGGTGCCTCGGCCGGGACTACGACAGCCTGAATGACTCCAAAGGCGGCTTGGGTATAGGCGCCAGCTCCGAGGCCCAGCACGACCTCAAGCACATAGATCACACCTGATGGGGTGTCGACATGAATAATCGTAGCTGTTGAGCGGGGTTGTTAGCACATGGTCACAGGGAAAACGTACTCCGCGACTTACACATCAAAACAGCTGGGATCAGGGCGAGTATGCTCCCGCCCACATACCAGGGCTTGTAGTAGCCGACATGAGACATCATGACACCGCTAAGCGGGATGGTAGAAATTAGCAGGAAGATGAATGGGAGTAGACGGACGGCAGATTGGATCGCGTTGTCTCCTTGGATGAACTGGAAATAAATAGGGACGTAATAGACGCTGACATAGGAAACAGCCCCTACTGCGGCACAAGAGATAAAGAGTAAGACTGGTTCCTTCTGAGCAAATAGGTGGATCGGTAGAATGCGTCTGTCGGTCGAGGTGGCGATGTTGAAGCCCTGTTGGAGACCGAAGATGATCCACAGAACGCCGGAAACAACAAACAACGCAATCGTCTGCCCGCTGCTCCATGGGTAAAGGGTTCCACCGAAGTTGATGCCCATTACCAGAGTGGTAAATGCTCCAACACTGAGTACGGTGCCCACCCAGTCGAAGGTAGCCAGTTTCTGCCATCGCGACGTTCCGGGTAGTGGGTCGTTAGATGGGATGACGAATAGATAGGTTGGCAGCAAAATGGCGCCGAACAGCAGGTTGATGTAGAATGCCCAACGCCAAGTATACAGCTCAAAGGCACCGCCGACAACAGGACCTAGGACCGTCCCGAGACCCCAGACCAAGCCACTATGGTGAATTTTCAGTGTACGGTTCGCCGGCTGTTCGCAAAAGTAGACTCACCTCAAGCTTAGCCATTTTGGGCGTTCTCGGCTGGAGGTGTTCATGGAAATCAGAGCAAGCAACCCAAAGTACATTCCATTGCCGCCTGCACCAGCAAAGACTCGCCCGATGATTTCGGCGTCCATTGTTGGCGCTCCGCCACAGAGTGCAGAGGCTGCCATGAACACGATGGTGGATACAATGAACACCCACTTGGCATCAAAAAGTGTGTATATCTTACCGAACGGCAGTATCATTGCCATTCCCCCAATCATAAACCTGTATAGAGCGGAGTTTGTCAGCCAGCGACATCTCTCCAACGCTCACTCCTCTCATCCACGTACCCCACCGAAAGCCATGGCAAATCTTCGACTGCGTTGAAATCGTTGACGATTTTCTATTGAGACAAAATTAAAAGCTCTCGTCAGTGCACGCCTCTCTCGTAGACAATGAAATGGAGAGATAGGAGGCGTACCGGAGCGATATTGGCAACAATCGTATTGTCTAGCGAGTAGACGAAGATCGCCGTCAGGGTGCTGAACAGAAATAAAAACCACTAATTCAGTCAGCGATCTCATCATCTAATCTCGGCCCGACCTTGCTCAGGTAGGAAGCAAGCTTGAAACCGAACTCACCTTGAAGCCAGTGATTTGCCGCTTTTCCTGCGAATCCAGCGATGAATCACTCTGAGTGAGCTTTTCTGCATCCTGAAGTGACTCGGGCCCAGAGGAGGTAGATACTTCAGCCATCACGATATATTAAAGTGATCAAATCTGTAGGAACAAACCTTAATGCGATACAACCGCAAACCCTAAGTATATAACCCCGTATATGAGAGCCCCGGACCCTTTCAAGGGAAAAATTTGTCACCCCGGGCCAACATCTTTCCGCAATAAAGGACACACCATGGCATCTCGGCACCTTTCATCAGGCTATGAACCTGCATTCCAACAAAAGTTGCCGACTGTCCGCCGGTCCGTTTCATGATTCGTCAATCCCCTCTTGCCTTGCCGAGGCGGAGACTTTCATAGATCTTCGGCAGATCTACACTCCGGGGGAAGATGTGGAGACACCTTGAAAAGTCTCCGCCTTTACGACTAAGAGCCCTAACTTCTGTCCACGCCTACTATGCTACTATAGGTACGTTGACTCCTACCTTGGTTTCAGGGCAGTTTCAATTTTAACTTTACTCTTTTCTGTGCACTGGCAGGTTACCGGCCAGCACCGCTTCTCCGGCACCTGGACGACCAAAAAGGATGACCTGGGCCAACATCAACCTTCTACTGGCCGAGCCGGGCTACAAACTCGAAGTGCCCGGTGGCAAGGTCGGCGTCATTGTTGGCCAGGATGGTTGGTCCGTCATCGAAATGAAGACTGTCGACACACCAAGACCAAGAGCGGCGTCCCCTACAACCAGCACTATTCATGGGACTGTCGCTGGAATGCGGAAGGGAAAATTATTGAGGCCAAGGCACTTTTGGATGCCGATCTCTTGGAGAAAGTGTCTGGGGGTGAGCAGCGCAAGTTGGGGCTTGCGACTGCTTAGGGAAGAAAGCTCTTGCCAGAACGGGTGTTGTTGAGTGATGATTCAATACAGGACATGGTTGTGGAAGATGAATATATTTATGAGCTCTTTTTAGACAAGGAAAGTAGTTGCCATGCACACCATGAGTCCAGGGGCAAGAGATGGTCACTGGCACAACGTTTGCGATTTTGAAAGTATATATCCCTCTGCACAGTGCCAATTCGTTGAATCTAAATTTAAGATAATTGGCCCTCAGAATGAAGACCCGACGAATGGCATAGCCGTAGTAGTATAGTAATGTTCATAAATCCGGCCCCACTACATATTTGCCTCCTTGCTGGAGGCGGAACCACAGGATCGACGGCCATACTGAAAACGCTAGTCTTTTGTCAAGGGGATAACCGTCAAGAGTGCTGGGTGAACGACTACATTGGATGGGGCTGGGGTGATGCATTTTATTCCAAGGTTGAGGTGAGCTGTTCACTTCGCTGCTCTCCCTCGGGTCGTACGCAGTGGGCTAGATCACTCGGGGATCAAACGGCGGCTAGGGGTGAACACTAAAACGGAAAGGGGAAGCTACTATGTCGCGCCTGAAATCCGGTGTACATGTCTATTATATTTTGGGTGCTGGATGGCTGCTAATGGTGTATATAGTGGTGTGTTGAGATGATATATCTCCTGATAAAAATGGAACGCTTTCTCCGCTGGGAAACCAAGACGCTAATGCAATACAATATAAAAAAACAGCCCTTGAAGATATATCAGTAGATGAGACAAGTACACGCCCAAATCTACAAACTAAAGATCCCACTCCTCTTCTTCCCATGCGGGTAAACAATCAGAGCGGAGATAAACAGCCCGACGGAAATACCAATAGCTGTCTGGATCATACCATATCCCAGCGAGGTAAGTGAGCTATTAGAGGTCGCATTGGTACTAGAGACGTTACCAGACGCAACAGCCTCGGCATACTCCAAGCCAGAAATGATCGACCCGCTAGAGGCAAGACCGGACGGAACGAGGGTAAAGATACCGGGAATAATAGCAGCAGCCGCATGACCGTGCCACAACCGACTGTACAGATTAGCCAGAAGGCCAATCGTGAACGCGCCAACAGTATTAGCAACCTGATTCGAGCCGAGCTTCTTCGTGCTAAAGTAATTCGTGACGTAGCCACAAACACCCATGAAGATAGTCACAGGCAACTGTTTCGGCTTGGACTGATTAATCAACGCAGCGAAGAGACAAAACAGCGCGACGAATGGGAAATGCTGGATATATTCATTGCCCCAGACCTCCGGGAGATTCGAGCAGGTCGACTCCCTCGTAGCATTGTGGTCCATCAGTCCGTAGATTGTCGTGCCGACGGTAACGCCGTACCCGAGGAAGAGCGAGTAGATAATCGTGAAGACGAGCCTGATCGAGCCCGCGTTCATCTGGTGCGACTGCAGCTCGAGACTACTGCTTAGCACGGCGAAGCCCGGTAGGATCATTGCGATGGAAGACTGCGCCATGGCTGAGAAGCAGAAGACGCGCTCGCCATTGTGCTGGATGCTGCCGAAAGCGCGCGCGATGAAGGAGGTGAGCACGGCGGCGGTGACTTCTAGCACGTTTGAGTAGGTTGCTGAGTTTGGCGCGACGACGTGCTGCATGAAGCCTACTAGACAGCCGAGGATGAATATTATAGGGAGGTCGACGGGGCGGGCGCTGAAGGCGTATGGGCCGACGGCGACGCTGGCGCAGCCGGTTAGGAAGATGAGGAGCCAGCGGTTGTAGCGTGGTTTGCGCTGCATGATCTGGTCTAGGTCGTGGGTTGCTTGTTCGACGCCGATGAGGTCGTGGACGACGTTTTTGTAGATGTTGTGTGTCTCTGCGAGACGGGAGAGATCCAGCCCCTGCACTACGCGGATGATCTTAACCTCGGCGGTGCGGGTTAGCGGGTCATCGAAGGACATGAACATGCAACCCGGGATGTACATGAATTGGGCTTTGATGTCCAGTACGTTGGAGGTCATCATCATGTACTCTTCGAGGCGGTGGGTTGGAGCGCCGTATTTCATTAGAGCGCGGCACAGCTGCATGATGTACTGTTGGCGGGCGAGGATGGCGGCAATGTGGACGGTGAGCTTGATGTTTTTCTTGCTCTTGCGCTTTTCCTTCTTTCGTTCTTTGGGATTCGCGGGTGGGGGACCCGTGGCTCCGGGGACCCCGACCCGGCCCAAATCCATGGACGCATGGATGAGGGAGGAAGTATAGCTGTGGGTTGGTTTGCTGGGGTGGTTGCTATTGTTGTACCATTTCAACTTGTCTTTCTTTCCACCTGGTGTTACTGTGCCGGATGCTGGAACGCTTTCCGTGTCCGGGTCTGTTTCTGAAGCCGCGGAGATGACACTCATCCGGCTCGCAGTGTTGAGGTTGTTGGCGTATACACGGAGCAGTTGTGAGAGGAGTCCTCCGGGTGGACTACCGGGTGTTGATGCCCCATCTGGGCTTCCTGGGGTGGTCGAACCGGAACGGGGTTCTTCGATGCGTGGCCGCCGTGACTCGGACTGTGACCCTATCTGTTCTACCAAGAGTCGAGCTTGTGAATCGTAATCTGTTCCTGGGAGCCGAGCCTCTTCGTCGATTGCCCGGCGGGCCTCGAATCCTCGGATATCGTCTGTTGCGCCATAGTACTCTGGTAGCATCGGTGCATCCAAGCCATCGGCCTCTCTTTCGTGGGGTCGTCCGAGCTTCTCGGCTATCGTGCCAGCGCGATTCCGAACCCGCCGGCTTGCTGTACGCCATCTTTGGGAAGTAGAAATATTAGGCTTCGGGCTGTCCTTGTCTGGTTGGAGAGTTTCTGTGTTGGTATCAACATTGTGGGCCTTGTATTCAGCTCGGTCCTTCTCGGCTATCTCCGCAGAAGTGCGAGGGATCGGAGGAAACTTTTCCTGCTCGTCCGACATGGCGCGGCACGGCAAAGTTGAATCTTCGCGGAGTTGGCGAAAGTGCGACTTTTGTCCTTTCTAAATGGGAAATATTAGAGGAATCCTCTTTCAGCAGAGAAGCTAATGCGGCAACAGTCTAGTGACCCACAAACGGTCGGACTTCATATTTTTAGAAAGAAGGAAGAGAGAAATTGAAATGGGGGGAAGTGGGTTCTTTTTGTCTCAAATGAGGAGAACCCGGTTCAGTAATGCAATTTTATGCATTGAAGTTCTGGCCATACAGGTTCGCCAGTCATGTGGAACATCAAGGATCTGTTCCTGGCCTGACCCAATTGGGGAACAGAACATATCCGGGGACACCTGATAGGCTGGTCAACCTATATCTTCAAGTTGACATCTGACATCAGATGTTTGATAAAAACAAGCTTCTCCTTACCCACACTAACTGTTTCTTGTTGATCACTACGACATATATAGGTCTTACTATTAACATACACACACAATACATCGCTGTGCTAACTATTTGAATACATTTCTTCAAAAATCTAAAATGTCCCTTTCTAAAAATAAGCAGAAATTTTCCTTGGCCTGGACTGCGCCTCTATCAGCCATCGGCATAATGTGGGGCCCACTTGCTGAAGAATCGAAATGTTCACGTTGGGAGTCTAATTGGGCCTAGATATGTCAAGACTTAGATTCCGATTGTTGAAGAAGGCATGCTATATTGAATCAAAGACCTACAAAGTAGATGGATAGCAGTCCAGCGTTGTGTATCATACCTCGGTAAATCGATAATATGCTATAGTTATCCGTTTTGAAATAGTTACTTTAGTCTTATTTGTATTCTGCCCTATTCCAGGGATATGAAACTGAGTAAAGGGGATTTTACAGTCCCTTGTTCATTCTAGATGTATTACATATTGTACTCCTAATTGGTGCTGTCTCTACAGCTCCAGCTATCCGGCACTCCCGACCCCACATCATCATCATCATCATCATCAGTCTCTCAACTCTTCCTATATCTCTAGAACACACAACCTACATTATACAACCAATCTCTACATAGACATTAGCCACAAACCCAGAAAACCTACCCTTCCAAACCCAATGCCCAACTCCAAATCCAAATCCAAATCCAACCCCCTCACATCCCCCGCAACACCAATAGCTCTCCAACCCCACCACCTCCTCTCCCCACCCCCAGACCTCCTGACCAACACCGCAACAACTCTAACGATAACCCCAACCCAAGACGCCAAACCCCCCTCTCCCACATTCACCGTCCACCGCATCCGCGCACACGAATCCCTCGACAACCCAGACCGCACCGTCCTCCTCTACACTGTATACGGGAAGCCATGGCCAAACCCGAGCCGCGTAGTGTGCGACGCGGAGGGGATGCCGGTACTCGTATTGCGACGAGTTTGGTTATCACGGAAGTGGGTGGTTCGACTTCCCGACCAGCAGGGGGATTTATTAGTTGCTTCAATGCCGTGGGCTGGGGATGGACCTGGGTCTAGGGTTGGGGTTGGGAGTGGTGGGTGTAGACTTGAAGTGCGGTTTGTGAATGCGCTTGCGGTCAGGTCGGGATCCATTGCAGGAGAGGGAGCCGGGGCTGTCTCTGGTTCTTTGGACGATGAGCCACCGCCTTATAGTGCTGTTTCCGGGGTTAGAGTTGAGGATGGGGGTGGGGGTGGGGATGGTCATGAGGGGAATGCGAATGCGGATGCAGATGAGGATGCGGGGTTGGTACAGAGGAATGAGAAAGAGATACATTCACATGCCGCTCAGAGTCTAATAGCATCAAGATCCAGGAGGCATACATACCATCCTCAATCCCCCTCCATCCTCCCCTCCTACGATTCCGTCCGTCGAGACTCGCCTAATTCCCTCCGAGATCTGCTCGATGCAATCGAGCCGCCGCAAGAGCCGGCGCCGGCTGGACCATTTCCTTCATCTGCATCTTCATCGCAAAATGCCAATGCCAGTTCCAGCACTAGTCCCGGTCCTGGGCTAGGACGTATGAATGCAGAAACCGATGTTCCCCTGGGAGGCAAAGTCGAGTTGAGAGTGATACAGCTAGCTGCATCCGGTACCGGTGTGATGATAGGTAACCAGAAGATCATGCATATCACGCGACACAATGTGATGGACTACACTAAGTCCCAAGCGAAGTTGAGGCAGAAGTGGGAAGTTGAGGTTGCCGAGGGTGTCGATTTGTTGCTGGTGAGTTTTCTTTTCGTTTCAACGGGGATAAGTGGGCTTCCGTAGGGGGTTGATCCTATTGACAGGATATACTGATATCCCGTATAGGCAGTGAATATCGTGCTGATTATGGCCGAGTCTGCGTCTCAGACTAGATGGAGGTAAGTAAACTGTGAAAGGGAATTCATTGGTGTAATATAATAGGATTTGCATAGCGGTATGTAGGACTAGACTGCCAGTTCCAGTGGGTAAGAATTTTTGATTCTAAAGGATCATCTCGCCCAAACGGCTTCACTCTTCTCTCGCTCGCCCAAATTTTTTTTAACCATACATTCGTCAAGGGAACAGCTCTTTTTTTGTTCCGTATTAAGTATTTCGTTGACCCGGGAAGTCTTTCTCGTCAAAAAAACAAAAATAATGTCAAAACAGCGTCAAAACCAGGACTTTCGCAAAGGAACGTCTAATTCCAAAGGCTCACGACTGAATCTTAGCCATGCGCTTGGTCATGAAGTCAAAGAAGGAGAACTGGCTGGGCTGGTTGCCGTACTCGTAAACGAAGCGGCTGGCCAGGTAGCTGCCGAAGATGGCACGGAGGTAGTTCTCAGGGACCTAGGATTAATTAGCGGAATTCAAAAGCAATATTAGAAAAGAGAGAGGGGAGACTTACACGTCCCAAGATGGTTTCCAGACCGATCTTGTCCAACAGACGACGCGGCAGAGCGTCACCAAGCACGGAGCGACGGAGCGCAACATTGTCCCAGAGCTCGGTCATCTGGAGTTCCTCGTCAAGCTTGGTGATGGCTAAGCTGAGACGGTCACTGAGGACACTGCGCAGCACGCCAGTCTGCTCGTGTTCGCGCCAGATGGCCTCGAACTCGAGAGCGGCGTTGGCCTGGATGACCTCCTGCACTTCACGGACGTAGGCCTTGTAGAATTCAGGGACGCTGCCATCCTCGCGGATGCACATGTGCTCGACGAACTCATCGTCGTTGAAAGACAGCGAGGCCAAGACTTCCAGGGAGGAAGATGTCACACCACCCTTGTTGGCGGAGGCATCCTTGTACAGAATGCAGCCGGCCTTCTCGAGGCGCAGCTTGGCGTCCTGGGTGATGAACAGGTTGGCTCCTTCGACGATGTAGGGAATGATGGACTTGTTGTCCCTGATGAGCTTGCCGACGGAGGCCAGATCGATGGACTCCGGGCGGCCACCGCAGGGAACGAACTCATCGAACTTCTCCTGCGAGCGCAAGTGGTATGTGTTACGGAAGACCATGCCGTTGTGGACAACCTCGCCGCTGGGGAGCTTGACGTTCTTCTCGTCGACCAGGACACGGTAGCCCTCGGGGGAGAGCTTGGTCATGTCAAACTCTGAGATCATCGCGCGCTTCTTGGCAAGGCGGAGGAGCTCTTCGTGGTTCAGACCGTTCGGGTCATAGATCACACCGGCTCCATCGACAATGGCTCCGTACTTCTCGTTAGAGAGTAGAATCTCGTTGGATCCAAGATCACCGTCTGGACCACCGGTCTGCAGCTTAAGGATTGTGGCGGGGTCAATGTTCAGCTTGCGCTGGATTCCGAGCACATACTGGCGGACTGAGAGGGTGGTCATGCCGTAAGCGTCATGGGGGATACCGCCCAGCTTGGGGCTTTTGCCAGTGAAGAACGACTTCCACCAGGGAGCGCCACGGCTGCGAGCGTGCTCGGTGGCCCAGTTGACGAGCTCAGCAGTGTTCTCATCAGGACCCATGAAGAGGATCTCGTCCTTGCCGTGCAGATCAACGATCGGATCCTTGATGCCGGGGCTGACCGGGGGCAGGAGCAGGTCGAGAATGCTGTCAATGTACTTCTCGAAGGCGACCCGCGCCTTATCCTGGTGGTCAGCATCCAAGAGGATGACACCCTTAGCACCGCCTTCGGGAATATCCTTGTTCTTGCGCTGTTGGGTATTGGCCAAGTTGTAGTTCTCATCGAACAACGAGCGAGCGTTGATGTTATATGCTTCGCTGTTTCGACTCTTGACGATACGGATACCGCCACGAGCGATATCACGGAACCGCAGGTGGAAGCCGCGGAACTCGGAGCTGATGATCAGGAACATGCCGTAGAGGGGCTGGGGGTATTCGTGCTCTGGCAAGAAGTCCGGCTTCAAGCGGAAGCTGAGAGCCACCTTGGTCGGGGTGAAGAAGTTGGTCTTGAGGATGGAGGAGTTGAACACGCGGAAGGAGTTCATAACCATCTCGTCGTGCTCGTTGAGGGCGGTGCCACGGATGAGCTGCTTCAGCTTGGCGCCATCGAGGACCTCGTCGACCTGCAGACGCAGGTAACTGAGGGTGGGGAGGAAGTCATCACCAGATTCCTGGGTCTGAACGTAGTGGGTGTTGGCGAAGTCAAGGTAGAGCTTGTGGATCAGCTCGGGGTATTTGTTGATAATCTCAAAGATGTAATCAGCGGTGAATGTCTCCGTACGCAGACGCTTCTTGATCTTTGAGAGCAACTCTGCGTGAACACTGTTGTTGCCATCCAAGAGAGCAGCCAACGAGGTGTATTCTGAACCCAGACGGTTAAGGAACTGCTGTACGAATACCCACGCGCAGTGAGCGTAGATTGTCTCCTGCAAGCTCAGACGACCAGTAGCGAAGTGGCCCTGGAAGCGGTTCTGAGGGATACAGTACAAAAGGGAGACCTCCTTCATGATCTGGTGGATAGCAGCCTCAATGGGAGGGAATTTGGCCGAGATCTCAGAGTTGTCCGAGGGACGCAAGTAGAGCGAGACCACAGTGATTCCGTTGGAGAAATTCTCCAGGTACTTGCGCGAGCTGGTCAAACGGTAGTAATGGTACAAATCTGACAGGGCACTGAACAATCCCATGGCGGATCCCTGGCGGTAAGCAATCACCAGACGCTTTTCCCGGCTTCCCTCAATCTCGAACATCTCAATGACGGGACCGGAGCGACCAACTGCCGTGGCGATAATTTCCTGGTAGACCGCCTTGGTGTTGGGGGTAGCCTTCTGCAAGAAGCGCTTCTCGCCAATGATATCGATGTTGCTCTCATTTGGTGAGGGGTTGGGATTGGCGAACTGGCACTTATAAACGAAGTAGCAGCGGAGCTGCTGGCCGTTGTCGCCGGGCAGAGCGCTAGGCGAGCGGAAGGTCTCCACACGGTAGCTGTTGGCACCCTTGGAGTGGTTGACGTACTTCTCGTCGATGCGCTGCTCGTAGCGGGGACCATCGACAGAGACCATACCGGGCCTGCTGGTATCGATGTAGACAGCATGGTCCTCGGCCTCTTTGTCCAGACGAATCTCCAGCTGCTTATCATCGCGGGCATAGGCGGCGACTTTGGCGGCGTAGAGGGATAGGATCTGGGTCACGATGGCGTCCACCGACTCGGTCTGGAAGTAGGTATCGTCGATGCCAAGCTTGTTATAGAACCAGGTGGTTTCGGAGATGATAAAGTCACTAGGGAAGAAGCCCTTCTCTTCCAAAATGTCCATGACTGCTGGGAATTAGCTAATTGTAACATCTCAATATCACTAGTCAATTCCACTGACCTTGTTCCATCTGCTTCTGCTTGCCCTCGAAGGTAGCCGCAATGTAGCCCGGGTCCTCCTCAGAGAGCACACGGTGTGGGGTACCAGGAATGCCCAAGTGAGTGGGCTGCGGAGACGGTTGTCGCATCGCATTTCCAACGGCATGGTCTAGGTGTTTGTTGTGAGGGGGAAAGCGCTGGAAACCGATGGGGGTGCCGGAGCCGGAGCTTCCATCCTGGCTCGCAAAAAGCTTAGGTTGAGGGCGACTAGGCAAGCTCACGCCATTGAGACTCTCCGACTGTGCGGTAGGTACGGGAGACGACATGATGTAGTATGTAAGGTAGATCTCTTAACACGTAAGAGCGAGAAGATGAAAGACGCTATATTAAGTCAATCAGCATGAGCATGAGCTGAGATGAATCATCGACTTGGCACGTGTGGGGATGAGATAAGGCGACACAAAGAATGTTCTTATCTCGCCCGGGACAGGTCCCGAGGTTGAGATAACAGGCAAGGAGAGAAAAGAAGAATCTTGGAAGACTTACTGGCAAAAGTAATGATCACCGATCGTCGCCATGGACTGAAGGTGATGAGAAAAGGGAAAGATGGTTTTTGGATCAGAGGAACCAGAAAATCCGGGGAACCCTGGTCTTTTTATACAAAACTTGGATTCTCAACTTTTAATAGTAATATTTTCTATTAATCCCTATTTAATTCTCTACTAATACAGAATTGGTTTTAATTCTATTATTATTACATATGTCCCGCAACCCCCCTGACCAGTTATAACCGATGGTAGGCGGGAGGTTCAACCGTATAGAGGTCTCGAAGCCCATTGAGATCCGCAGTTCCACCTTGTTCCACCCCAAAACGCTCATTCTCTGTCCACTCTTGACTAAGGGCCGGCGATAAATTGTACGCTGATTGGACCTCATCGCCCCTCCTTCCGAGCTCAAGCCGATAGAGAAAATCCCGCTGCGTCATGCGGGCCGATATGAGAGGGAAAAATTGCCTCAAAGTCTGGAACGTGGCTGAGGCGGACTATTTTACAGGAACAGGGGCAAAAATATGTGAGCAGGTGACCTGAAAGAGACTTGCTGGACTGAAAAGAGAAGAGTAGAGGTCACCTGAGATGTCTTACTGGAGTGCATTGACGATGTATACAGGGAATGATGTGATCTCTATCGAACATCGTGGAATGCAATGTGTCATGGAGAACCCACTCTACTGGGATAAGGCACTTCCGAATTTTTCACTTACAACATTGTTTGCTAAATGCCTCATTCTCAATGTTCCAGCCAGAATGGCGTACCCCCAGATCGCATCGTGATCGACTACCTTACTCATTCAGATCCACTGGTGGCTGTCTCGGTCCGGGGGATTTTCGCCATTTGGGGGGAGTTTGACAAGTTTGACCAGTATTAGCCAAGGCCAATTGCAATTCGATGCAAGCTTTGCGAATGTCGCCGGGCCGGTGACAGACTAGCCGGTGACAAACAATGACAAACAATAATATACGTCCTCCATGTGTATG